AAACGTTAAAAAAAAAAAAAAAAGACAGTTCCTAATTTGAAGGGGCTTACTATCCTGCATCTGATAGGAAAAAGTAAAAATGAAGACACAGTATTTTAAATATGTAATGCCATCTGTCTCTCTTCGGTGGGCATTAATAAGTTCAGCTACAAAAAGTTCAGTACCTCCCCTCGCCCGGGAGATGCCCCACTTGTCCCTGATACAGAACATGCCTCTGCAGCTTCAAGCTATGACCCAGTAATCTCCCTGGTTCAGGCGCCGCGGCGGGTAAACAGGGCACTTAACTGGAGTCTGACCTCGTAGAGGAAGGGGCAGCGGCTCGGCCTTTCTCTATGTGGCCGGAAGCTGGTTACCATAACCTCTTTTGGCCCATTTACACCTCAGAGGTGGCGCGGAGGGCTCGAGATAGTGCGCGAAGGCGCCTGGCACAAAGCGCAGTGCATACGAAGCACTTAGTATTGTCATTCTAAGGTAGCCTCCCAGAACCTCCTCACAGTCCCCTCAGAACCACTGCCCACTCCGCTCCCGGCTTCCATCACCTCCTCCATAGTTGAGCCAGCGATAGTATTGAGCGTAGGGGAAAAGCCTCCGGTAATAAAGGTTAAGCAGCTCCGGCAGCTCGGCGGGGTTAAAAGTCTCCATGGAGCGCGGGACTCACGGTCCTCAGGACTACAAGAATTGGCGGGAATCACACAGCCGGAATCTCTGTCACTGCGCAGGCGCGCTATGGCCGTGGCCCGACGTCTGCGCGAGCTGCTGGGAATTGTAGTTCTCTCTTGGGGGTTGGCTTGGGCGTGGCGTGTTCTTTGCTTACCAGTTTCGACACTAAGTCCACAGCTCCTGAGGGTAGAACGAAGCTGCTGCCTTTCCGGGAAGATCTACAGAAAGGTGAGCACTTAAGCAGGTAGACCTAGGTTATTAAGATGATGTGAAGAATGATTTTCTGCTCTAACTTTATGAATGGTTTTAGAAATAACGCATTTAAACAATACAAGCCAATATCTTTTTAAGATGGTTTGGAAATTAATTTTTCATGAAATTATTAGGTACAAAACATGTGGAAGTAAGCAAAGACCAACCAAATAAAATCAAAGGCTATTTATTCAGAGCTTGCTGAATAGCAAGTAGGTCAGCTGCAGACACTTGAGTTTTGGCAGAGAGTCAAAGGCAGGCAGAGAAGTGGAAAAGCTTTATAGTGGAGTGGGAGAGGAGAAGGTTTCAGGTATACCTTGATTCAAGGATTGTTTGCATGGAAAAGTTGTAGTTGGACTAACTAGGAGCAGGGCCATTCTACGTGATTGGTTTGGGGCACATATTTGGCTTTCTCTGGTTGGTCCTAAATTAGAAGTGGTCACAAAATTGAGGGAAGCTGTCATTTATTAATCAAGACCTGGTTGCTTTGGGCCAATTGCTACAGGGGTTTTGGTTTGTCATCCTGAACTCTCACTAGAGACAGCAGCAGCCTGACCTCTGTAAGTCTGATTTATAGCAGGCTGACTTCCTGAGCTGTTTATTATAGATAAGGGGACTGGTTTCGTGGGTAGGCTTCTTCAGGTTGGGTGATCAGAGTTCTGCTTTTTGGTTTTTAAGTAAACTCTGTGCCCAATGTACAGCTAGAACTCATGGCCCTGAGTTGCATGCTCTACTGACTGAGTCAGCCGGGAACTCCCAGAGTTCTGTTTTTATGTATTATCTGGCTACTGTTTGTATATTCAGTCTCTCAAATAGAACACCCCAGGAATCTTGAAGACTCATGGAGAACTTTACGAGTAGGAAATGAGCCTCTTTGCTACTAACGTGCAGATCTGCTAATCAATCTTACCTGGTAAAGATACACCTCATTGCAAATGTGGACTGGGGTGGACAGTCTATAATCACAAAAATGTCATGTCATTTGGAAGCCATTATTTTTATGAATTTTATGTTTCCGATACCATTAGGAGAGCAAGGAGAGAATAGAGTCTCTAGTAAGTTGTTATTAGCCTAATCTTGAAAATGATCACTGGTCTCTCAGCTCCTGTAGGCAAAGTGGTCAAAAGCGGGCTCTGGGCAGATTATACTTATTTGAATATTCCTTAAAATATGGTTTCCTGAACAAATCTTAGTTGATTTTTACAGTCTCTGTGCATTGCATTTTGTACTGAGAAAGTCTTCACTCTAATAATAATGAGTGCCCTGGGGAGTGCTCTTTTCCAGAGCCACTTGTCTCTGGACTTTTTTTTTTTTTTAACGTTTATTTATTTTGAGAGACAGCACATGTGGGGGTGAGGGGCAGAGGAAGAGAGAGAAAATCCCAAGCAGGCTCCATGCTTATGGAGCCTGACACGGGGCTCGATCTCACCACTGTAAGGTCATGACCTGAGCCGAAATCAAGAGTCTGACACTTAATGACCTTCATGACACTTAACTTTTAGGAACTGAATTCCTTGGGATATTTGAAAGTCCCGTATTTGACTTTCAGGACCACTAAGGAGTGCAACACCTGAAGGAGCCAAGATATAAGGGGAAAAAAGCAAAGGAAGTTATATTTATTGAGTTCCTACTATATGCTCAATTTATTTAACAGTCTTCTCATCAGGAAAAAGGAAATAATAATAGCTAATATTTATATGGCGTTTGCTGTGCTGGCAAGTACCCTTTTGAGATTTTTTCCTCTGCCTTACACCTGTCAGATGGCTAAAATAAAAAAGAGAAGAAAAAACAGGTGTTGGCAAGGATGTAGAGAATAAAGAACCCTTGTGCATTGTTGGTGGAAATGTAAATTGATACAGCTACTGTGGAAAACAGTATGGAGTTTCCTCAAAAAATTAAAAGTAGAAATACCATGGTCCACTAATTCCACTATTTGGCATTTACCCACAGAAAATGATAAGCACTAATTAGAAAAGATATATCCACCACTATGTTTATTGCAGCATTATTTACAGTAGCAAAGCTATGGAAGCAACCCAAGCATCCACCAAGAGATGTATGGATAAAGATGTGAGATATATATAGACACATACAATGGAATATTACTCAGCCATAATAGAGAATGAGATCTTGACATTTACAATAATATGAATGGATCTAGAGAGTATAACGCTAAATGAAATAAGTGAGATAGAGAAAGAAAAATACCTTATGATTTCACTCATATGTGGGATCAAAGAAATAAAGAGACAAACAAAAAAAAAATCAGACTCTTAAACAGAGAACAAACTGGTGGTTGCTAAAGGGGAGGTCTGTAGGGGGTGGGTGAAATAGATAAAGGGGATTAAGAACGATTAACTTCCAGTTATAAAATAAATAAGTCACAGAGATGAAAAGTACAACATAGAGAATACAGTCCATAAGATTGTCACCAAAACAAGTCACCAAAAACGCTGTTGGTGACAGATGGTAACCACACTTATTGTGGTAAGCACTGAGTAATGTATAGAATTGTTAAAAAAAACTTTTATCCCTCATGGGATGCCTGGGTGGCTCAATCGGTTAAGCATCCCACTTCGGCTCAGGTCATGATCTCACAGTTTGTGGGTTTGAGCCCCGTGTCAGGCTCTGTGCTGACAGTCTAGAGCCTGGAGTCTGCTTTGGATTCTATGTCTCCCTCTCTCTCTCGGCTCCTCTCCCGCTTATGCTCCCTCTCTCTCTCAAAAATAAACATTAAAAAAATTTTTTTAGGTTATCCCTTATTAAGAACCCTATATGGTGGATACTAAAATTATCTCTATTTTATAGGTGGTAAAATATGCAGAGAATTTAAATACTTTGTCCAAGTTCACACCAACTAGTAAATGGGAGAGCCAGAGAGCCTGGCTCCACAGTCTGTGCATGTAACCCCCAAGTGACATGCTGTGTCCCTACAAGAGGTTGTCGTGCTAATTAAGTGAGATAAAGTGAGAGGTCCCTGGCACAGTTCATAGGCCAGAACCACTCAGTGTGAGAAAGCTATTCTGTACAAGTGCTCTGGTATGGAGGCTTCTATCCTAGGTGCCACTGGGAGGCAGTATTGCCATTCAGTTGGTTTCCCATTGTGCTTTCATCCATGTAGGTACAAAACCCCTTTGTCCTTCAAGCCTTACACTAGGGACTATCCTCTTTACTTTTACTACTTAAGTCTACTATTATTCTCTTTGGGTAACCCATCAGTCCCAATCTCCCCGAGTTATTTGCAGACTTGGACACTTACCTCATGGATTTTCCTCTCAATTCAACTCCCATTATTATTCTGGATGTTTTTAGCTTATAAAAAAGATGATTTATTTGGTAGATAGATCCACAAATTAATGAACATTTATACTGGGCACTTAGCTGGGTTCTGGGGAGAAAAATGAATGGCATGGCTTCTGTTTTCTGAGAAAGTTACAGCCTAGTAGGGGCACTAGACACAAATCAAAAACTGTAATCAAGTGTTATAGATGCATTTATAAACCAGCTGTCTATAGGCATCAGCCTTTTCCTTAAGATTTGGGTAAGATTGATATGGGGAGCACAGGCACAAAATTGTAAGTGGCGTGGCACTTTCAAGAAACTGCCCATAGTTCCATATGGACAGAGCTCAGACATGAAGGGAACCCCTGGTAAGAGATGGGACTGAGAGGTAAGCCATGGCCAAAATATTGCATGCCAAGTGAGGGAGTGTGGAAATAAAAATTATTTATCTTCCATTTTTATTCAGCTTTGGTTAAAATTAAAATAAAATATTGATCTTATCAATATTTGATGAGAAGTCTTGGGAGTAAATAATCTTGTTGAAACAAGTAAGTTGAAAATTTCAAGTACTCCTGTGCTAGTTATCTTCCTCTTTAATAAGGTAAGAAAGGGGCGCCTGGGTGGCTCAGTCGGTTGAGCGTCCAACTTTGGCTCAGGTCATGATCTCACGGTTCGTGGGTTCGAGCCCCATGTCGGGCTCTGTGCTGACAGCTAGCTCAGAACCTGGAGCTTGTCTTCCGATTCTGTATCTCTCTCCCTCTCTCTCTGACGCTCCCCTGCTCACGCTGTCTCTCTCTCTCTCAGAAATAAATAAAACATTAAAAAAAAAACTGTGTAGAGGAAGGGATACGTGGCTAGTTCAGTCAGTGGAGCATGTGGCTCCTGATCTTGGGGTTGTGAATTTAAGCCCCGTGTTGGGTTTAGCAATTACTTAAAAATAAAATCTTTAAAAAAAGAAAAAGTGGGTAGAGGAAGAGAATCCACTAAAAGACAATGTGAATGATTAGGAATAGAAGCAGGAAGAGAACTGGGAAAGCATGATTTCTTAAGAGCCAAGAGGGGAGAGTTATGAAAGGGTGCTGATACCAATTCCAGTGTAGGTGGGGGTGTTCCCACGTATCCAAACCAATTCTTCAGACACCAGCTGGATGTCCTACAATTCAATTCGATTGTGACACTATCTACCTGGAGACAGTGTCAGATTCCATAGGTTAAGGGTTCAATCCCATAAGACTGCCCTACTTCAGATGCCAACCGCAAGCCCAGGTAATCACCTGTGCTTCCCACCAGCTGGCTATCAGAGGGTCCCACAAACCCTTCTTTGGGTTTGATTAGTTTTCTAGAGCTGCTCACAGACCTTAGGAAACCCATTTGCTCACTAGATTACCAATTTATTGCAAAGGATATGAATCAACAACCAGATGAAGAGATACATAAGACAAGATATGTGGGAAGGGGCATGGAACTTCCATGCCGTCTCCAGATTCTTCCTAAATCTAGTCTACGTGTGTTCACCAACCTGGAAGCTCTCTGAACTCTGCCCCTTTGGGTTTTATGGTGGCTTCTTGACTTAGGCACAATTGATTAAATCATTGGCTCTTGGTGATTACACTCTATCTCTAACCCCTTGCTCATCCCTGGAGGTCTGGGGGTGGGACTAAAAAAATTCCAACCTTCTATTCCTGGTTGGTTCACGTGGCAGCCAATGAAGTGCTTTCCAAAAGTCACTTCATTAGCATAAACCCAGTTGTGGTAGAAAGAGGCTTGTTAGGAATAAGACACCTCTTTTACCTTCAGGGGTCCGAAATGATTACAGAGACTGAGGATAAAAGGTCAAACATTTATAAGGAAAGATGCTCCCATTGCTCTTTATCCCTCAGGAAATTCCAAGGGCTTTGGGAGCTGGGTGCCAGAAACATGGACGAAGACCAAACATATATGAAAAATATTTCTTATAAATCACAGTATTGCACACTGATATATGTAAGAATATGGATGAACCTGGAAAACATTATGCTATACTAAAGGAGCCAGTCACAAAAGGCCACATATTGTGTGATTCCATTTATGTGAAGTATACAGAATAGGCAAATCTGTAGATCTGGAGAGTGCATTAGTGCTTGCCTCGGGCTAGGGAAGGGAAGAATGGTAAGTGACTACTAAAGAGTACAGGGCTTCTTTCTGGGGTAAAGAAAGTGTTCTGAAGCTAGATACCCTCAAATATACTAAAACTCACTGAGCTGTGTACTTTGAAAGGGTGAATTGTATGGTATGTGAATTTTATCTCAATAAAACTGTTATTATCAGGGGCATCTGGGTGGCTCAGTTGGTTGAGCATCCCAATCTTGATTTTAGATCAGGTCATGATCCCAGGGACATGGGGTCAAGGCCTTCATCCAGCTCTTTGCTGAGCCTGGAGCCTGTTTGCGATTCTCCTGTGTCTCTCTGCCTCTCTCTCTTTCTTCCCCTCTCTGCCCTCACCCCCCAGAGTTGCACGCACACTCTGTCTCTAAAAAAAAAAAAAAGAAAGAAAGAAATCATTAAAGAAAAAAGCTGTTGTTAACACACACACACACACACACACACACACACACACACCCTGGCTGTAGGCCCTAAGACTAAGCAGTTGTAGCTCTTTGGCAGGGTATCTGACTGTATGAAAGCCAAGATCCCAGGTTTCAAGCAGCTGATCTCAGATGGGCAGTCTGAGTGGCCTTTGCCAGAATTAGCCAGGCTCCCCTCTTCCTTACTCCAGCAGGGGTTTTACATCTTAGTCTTCCAACCTGGATCAGAGGATGGGGGCTGAAGCGATCGGGAAACTCTGGCTGGCCAGGGCAGCTCTTTTCTTTCTGCTTTCCGTTTTTTATTTAAATATTTAAAAAAAATTTATTTTACAGTTTTTATTTGCTTTTGAAACAGAAAGACAGAGCATGAACAGGGGAGGGGCAGAGAGAGAGGGAGACATAGAATCCAAAGCAGGCTTTCAGCACAGAGCCCAATATGGGGCTTGAACTCATGGAGTGCAGGATCATGACGAGCTGAAGTCAGATGCCTAACTGACTGAGCCACCCAGGCGCCCCTCCTTTTATTTAAAAAAATATGTGTATTTATTTTTGAGAGCAAGGGAGAGAATGAGAGCTGGGGAGGGCACAGAGAGAGGAAGAAAGAGAATTCTGACCCGGGGCTAGGTTTTACAAACCATGAGATCATGACTGGAGCCCAAATCAAGAGTAGGATGCTTAACTGACTGAGCCACCCAAGTGCCTCCCCCTCGCCGATTTTTCATTTTCTTTTGGTTTTATTTAATTTTGAGACAAAGAGAGACAGAGCACGAGTGGGAGAGGGTCAGAGAGAGAGGGAGACACAGAATCTGAAACAGGCTCCAGGCTCTGAGCTGTCAGAATAGAACCCGATGTAGGGCTCGAACCCACGAACTGTGAGATCATGACCTGAGCCGAAGTCGGATGCTTAACCAACTGAGCCACCCAGGTGCCCCAATTTTTCATTTCTTAAAAGATCTTTCAGCTTTGATTCCTGAAAAAAATTTCATCACTTTTTTCCCCCTGCTTTTTTTTTTTAAATGTTTTATTTATTTCTGAGAGACAGAGAGAGAGAGAGAGAGAGCAGGGGAAGGTCTGAGAGAGAGGGAGACAGAATCTGAAACAGGCTCCAGGCTCTGAGCTGGCTGTCAGCACAGAGTCCGACGCGGGGCTCGAACCCACGAACCGTGAGATCATGACCTGAGCCGGTCGAACGCTTAACCGACTGAGCCACCCAGGTGCCCCTTTCCCTCTGCTTTTAAATCTTGATTTCTTTGTTGTTTGGAAAGGTGTTGTTTAAAGTTGGGGGTGGTTTTATACTTGCAAATAGGATCCTCTGGGTATGCTCTGTAAACTGGGTTTCTTGACACTGGCAAAAATCAACTCTTTCACAGTTAATGCAGTACCTGTGGGGTAGGTTTGTGAAACCGTGGCTAAGCAAAAGTGGCCTTCTCTAAGTCATGAGAATTGTGTTGCTAAAGTTTAGTTAGTCTAGTTTGGGTCCTGCCCTAACCCCACCCCCAACAACCTGACCCCATCTCCTCTTGCTGGCAAGCTCTTAGCAGTGCGGAGTGGTGGAAATTTTTCTTTCTTTCTTTCTGTCTTTCTTTCTTTCCCTCTTCCTCCCTCCCTCTCCCTCCCTCCCTTTTCCTCCTCTCTCCTTCTCCCTCCCTCTTTCTCCCTCAGTCTCCCTCCCTCTCCCTCTCCCTCTCTCCCTCTCTTGGCCAGTAAATAGGGTTTAATAGTTACATTATTACTTTCCACTTGTTCTGTGGAGAACAGAGAAGAAGGAAAATTCCAAATACAGTTAAACAAGAAGTGTTAGAATTCCTCAGGTAACATTTTTCCTTCTCTTTGTGGGATCTTATATAATAATAGGAAATGAAGTGTGATATTAAAAAAAAATGCCTTTTGCTGGAGTATCTGCTGATTTTTTTCCCATTTGACAGAAGTTAAGTCAGTTTTTGGAATGAGGTTGAGATTGGAGAATGTGTTAAGATTTATTCTTGGACAGATGGAACATCTTCAAAAAGAGTTTGAGGTAACCTAAAGTAAAAGGCACATATACACTAAAGATATTAAAATGGAAACTGAGTGCTCGCTTTGGCAGCACATGTACTAAAATTAGAATGAGAGGATTGGCATGGCCCCTGAACAAGGATGACACGCAAATTTGTGAAGTGCTCCGTATTTTAAAGAATTAAATAAAATGCAAATAGGAGTACAGAAAGAAATAGAAAATCAAAGTGATAGAAGACAGAAGAAAAACTACTGTCTACAGAGGCTAAAAGAGAGGCTTCTTATCAGCTCAGTTGGTTGAGCATCCGACTCTTGATTTTGGCTCAGATCATGATCCCAGGGTGGTGGAGTCCCCTGTTGGGCTCTGTGCTGGGTGTGGAGCCTGCTTGGGATTCTCTCTCTCTCTCTCTCTCTCTCTCTCTCTCTCTCTTTCTCTCTCTCCCCCCCCCT